CTAAATTATTGAAATGCTAGGATAAACTATGTTTCTCTTCCAAAGTGGCTCATAAATATAAGATCTTTCTTTTGGAAATCAAAAAATCAAAATCAAACTGTTCATGAATCAAAAAGGCCAATCCAGAATCTGTAACTTCATAACAGTGAGTAAATTGGGAAGTTATTTCAGAATAAAACTAAGTCATTTTATCAAGTAATAAAAACCAATATGCAATTACTCTGCATTAGACATAACAATTCTGTATCTTCTTGCTATAAAGCAAGAGTGCTGGCAGACTGATAATTCTTCCTTTCCATGAACTCCAAAGGGACCGCATCTAATGACTTACCACATTCTAAATAGTAATCAAGGCTACGCAATATTCTAAGAAACGACTTTCATGCTTTCCTCTTGCTCCCTGCTCCATTTCCAGGTAGGAAGGCCATCTCTAGCTTTCTAGTTCACCCTATTTTACTCCAAGGACTGCTAGATTATGACCAACACTAAGCAAGTGAAGTCTGCTATGATTAAGTTATTACGGGTGCAAATGGTAGGGTTATTTTAAACAATAAGCAATCATTCTTCAAAAAAAACTTCTAAGTGTGCTCTGAACTGGGTATTTTATCTTCCCCTAGAAGTTTTATAGGAGACGGCAATGGAATCAATCCTAGAAGAGTGTAAATTGCATTTGAGGGAAGAAACCATTTTCAGTTTTTAATCAAGACTAGATATTTTGTATTTCTATTTCATGTGTAATGCAACATTTACTGGATTAAAAAAAAAATCAACACGTCATAAGGCCAGGCGGTTTGTAAGGAACCATTTCTACTCTAGTGACCACTGACAATTGTGAAATAAGTTCAGTGATGATCAGTATTACAAATTCTTGCCCAAAGTCAACTAGCTGTCTGAAGGGAAAAAAAATGCATTTATCACGTGCTGCTATATTTCCTCATACTCCTTTAGCCACTCTACTTCCATTTTGGTAATCTGTGGTTTCTTTTACAGCAATAACATGAACGAAAGATTACAGAGGGTAACTTACTTACTTAGGCTGTAATCCTCTCTATAATTTTTAAGGAAAGAAGTCTTCAAATTAAGCATGTCTAGCTGATGGAATCCCTACCACTAAACAATGGGATAAGCAAGCTTCCTATTTCTCAATATCAAAAGCAACTGCAAAACTAACACTGAACCCTTTTACTTACGAAAGACTAAGACAGATTCACATTAGTGAAATGCAAGGTAACGTGCATTACTAATACTCAGGCATGCATTTCACTCTGTTTTTGAATAACAAGTTGGATCTTAAGATGTCCTGAAGTTCCTTTCAGACCATATTATTCTATGACAACCAAGTCATAGAATCGCAGAACACCCTGGTTTGGAAGGGACCCACAAGGATCATCAAGTCCAACTCATATCTCCACAGGGTAACCTAAGAGTTGGACAGCATCAAGGAGCATTGTTCAAACACTTGTTGAACATTGACAGGCTTGGGACCATGACCACTTCCTTAGGGAGCCTGTTCTAGTGCCCAACCACAACCTCAGTAAAAAATTTATTCCTAATAACCAAATATGAACATCCCTTGACACAACTTCATGCCATTCCCTTCTGTCCCATCGCTTGGTCACCAGAGAGGAGATTACCTCTCTTCTCTGCTTCCCTTCAAGAGGAAGCTGTAGACAGCAATGAGGTCACTTCTCAGTCTGTTCTAAGCTGAGCAAATGAAGTATCCTAAGCCACTCTTCAGTCATGTCTCCTAGAATTTTCATAATCCCTTTTGCACCCTTTTTGGGGCATTCTACTATTTTTGATATATTGCTTAACAGAACTTATCAGAGTACTTCCTTTTCACAAATGCCAAGGAAGATATTAAATCAGCACTTATTGGTCACTTGACTTAGATCTCATCTTCCGAGAAGATATTTCACAAGTGAAAAGTAACAGTAAATAAAGCCTTCAGAGACTCTAAAGTGCCTTCAAGTTGGTGCCTAGCATTCTGGATCAGGCCACTGTTTCTGTGATTAAACAAATCACATTAAAGGATTAGTTTGATAATCAACACCTCCTCAACTGCTCACCCTACTGACTTGTGAAACAACTGCATTTCAGTGTAAGGTATCAGCCTCAGGATTCCCACCTGTCAGTCGAACTGCCTCTCCTAAGATGATGTAGTTTAGATGTCCTGGTTTCAGTTAGAACAGAATTTTCTTCCTAGTAGCTGGTGGAATGCTGTGTTTTGGCTTGGGATGAGAAGAGTGCTGATAACACTCCGATGTTTTAATTGTTGCAGAGCAGTGCTTATACCAAGCCAAGGACATCTCAGCCTTTTGCTCTGTCCTGCCAACAGGCAGGCTGGGGGTGCAGCAAGAGCTGGGAGGGAACAGACCCAGGACAGGTGACCCAAACTAGCTAAAGGGGTATTCCATCCCATCTGGGGTCATGCTGAACAATATATAGGGGTGGCTAGCCGGGGGAAGGGGCTGGACTGCTCGGGGTTAGGCTGGGCATCGGTCAGCGGGTGGTGAGCAATTGCATTGTGCATCACTTGTTTGTACATATTAGTAGTAGTAGTACTATTATCACCATTGTATTATTATTATTATTATTGTTATTATTATTTTCCTGTCTTATTAAACTGTCTTTATCTCAACTCACGGGCTTCACTTTCCATTTCTCTCCCCTATCCCAGAGAGGGAGGGGGAGGGTGAGCGAATGGCTGCGTGGTGTTTAGCTGCCGGCCGGGTTAAGCCACGACAGGGTAATATTGATGGTAGAGGGGACAGTTGGACTAGATGATCTTGGGGGTCTTTTCCAACCTTAATTATGGTTTTATGAGCCCACCAAGGACAGCAACGATTGCTGAATTCTAGCTGCTGGAGATGTTCATGAATTCAAGCTTCATATGGTAATACTACAACATACAGCAGTCCACTACCCTCATAGAGGCATCAATTCCTGTAACTTTTAAGGTGGGCACTCTCCCACTGTAGGAAAGCTTGCAGAGTGTCCCTGTCCGATAAGTTTCAAAGGCAAATCTGTTCAATTAGAGTACTCTTCACTGTCTGTAGTTTTTGTTGTATCATCTGCCAAACCGGGGCATATGCATCATGGTAGCTTAGTGTCACTATCTCGATGATATCTACAGATGAGAGAAAGTCAATCGGGTATTTCTCTCTCCAACTTTGCTCTTGCTCAAATATAAGACCCTGTCTTAAAACAGTAATACCTCTGGATAAAAGGTTACTTTTTTTTTTTTAAAGTGCAAAAAACACCACTGACAGTCTTAAAACAACAACCTACCCTGTCCTTTCTTTTTAACTTAAGTGGACTCCAATAGACACGGAGGAAGCTACAGTTCATTTAGAGCTTCACTGAGCTTTACCTTACTGAACAGAAATGACTATGTCTCCCCGGAAGGAAAGATCACTCACTTTTCTTAGCATCTGAAAGCAATGACATGAAAATAGCTGCTGTGAAATAAACTATCTACAATAGCTCCCAGAAAGCCAATTTAAAACAAAAGTCATTTCTTTACCTTCCTTACAACTAGCCAAGGTTCAGAGATTTTATGCTTGGACAAGGCCTGGGTGTTTACTATCAATTCATCTGAAACCAAACACAGGATCACACCTTCTAAAATAACCAAGGAACGTATTCACTACTCCTGAGGGCTGCACTCAGCGTCTGAGCAGTCCTGCTGCACAGAACATGTGTCTCAAGTATCCAAGTTATCATGCAGATTGTTTCAAACCACCCTCCAGATTCATAATGCCATTCCTCAGCTGACCAGCAGAGTGCTCCTTAGCAAGTGGGCCTTCGCTGGTCTATCCCCTGACTACTAGTTGTTTCCAGCTTGATCTGAGGTCATTAACAGGGACTAGGAGAATACAGTATTACTAAGAAAAAAAAAAGTTCTAGGGGGTAGGAAGGTTCCTTGAAGATTTAAGGCTTACTCTGACATAAGAATTACCGCTCCTAGAAATCCTCCAAAGCGGAGGACAGGTGTCCTGGTTTAAGTTAGGACAGTGTTAATTTTCTTTCTAGTAGCTGGTAGAATGCTATGTTTTGGCTTAGGATGAGAAGAGTGCTGATAACACGCCAATGTTTTAATTGTTGCAGAGCAGTGCTTACACCAAGCCAAGGACATCTCAGCTTCTTGCTCTGTCCTGCCAACAGGCAGGCTGGGCGTGCAGCAAGAGCTGGGAGGGAACAGACCCAGGACAGCTGACCCAAACTAGCCAAAGGGGTATTCCATCCCATCTGGGGTCATGCTGAACAATATATAGGGGTGGGTAGCCGGGGGAGGGGGCTGGACTGCTCAGGGTTAGGCTGGGCATCGGTCAGCGGGTAGTGAGCAATTGCATTGTGCATCACTTGTTTTGTGCACATTATTATTAGTAGTACTATTATCATCATTATTGTTATTATTATTATTATTATTTTCCTGTCTTAATAAACTGTCTTTATCTCAACTCATGGGCTTGATTTTCCCATTTCTCTCCCCCATCCCAGAGAGGGAGGGGGGAGAGTGAGCGAACGGCTGTGTGGTGTTTAGCTGCCGGCGGGGTTAAACCACAACAGATGACCTTTCTACAGTGCGAAGGGTACATTTCATAAGTTTGAGAACACCTTTAAGGAAAGATAAAAGCAATTATGTTTGGTATTTCATTTGTATGCAAGCTGTCAGGAAGAAAACTGAAAAGGCTATTATTCCCAGACTACTGGGAGAGTTAGCTTCATGAAGATCTTCAGTTGAAGCAAGCATACCCAGAATCAGAAGCTGAAGCATTGTTACCAGATTTTTCAAATACCTCTTCTACCCTTTTCTCCCTACCCAGCCACCAACAAACATTTTTGATTGTTCTTAATGTAAGAAAACAGCCACTTGTCTGGTTATCCAGGCAAAGAAAAAGAAGTGTTCTCACTTCTCTACTATGGCGCTCAGCATCTAAACAGAAAAACAAGATCTTTTAGCAACAGTCACTGATGCAGACCACAAGTTAACTCACCTTAAAAAATGCAAACCACTTGTAGTTGTTTAGCACAATTTCAAAGCCTTGATTGTAAATCAAAGTGAAGAAACCATAATTGCCCAAACTATCCTGAGCCACATCTAACTTCTGAAGATTCACAAGTACTGTTTTTTCCACAGGCCCTGCGAGAAAGAAATAAAATCATTGCAAAGATTACAATTAAAATACAAACTAGTAAAGAGCATCTTTTTTTTTTTTTTTCCAAAATACACTTGCTGCATAAAGCCTCCTGCAAAAAGGCATCAAGCAAACACACCTTAGGGACCTCAGTTACCTATCACCATGAACATTTTCATTCTGCAATGCTAGACAGTATTTGCACATTTAATTACTAACAGCAGCAGTACCAAACAGCTGTTTCAGGAAAGCATCAGCTTATTTAAATGTAACTTGATGCACTGCTACATAGGATTTGTATGCTCTGTCACTCAAGACAGTGTGTCTGCAGTGACAAATCTTCCTCTTAAACATGTGGTTTCAGGTATCAGCCACCACACTACCTCACAGCACTGCTCCAAACCCTGCCAGGTCCAGCTTTACCTCTCATATTCTCACCTGACACTTGCCTGATGGGATCAAACTAATGCAGACAGTTTAGATGCAATGCATTAACACTACTTTTAAAATAATACTGTAAAATAATAATCAAGTAATAACTCCTCGCTACTATTATGCTCCCAAGAGAAATGCTGGTTTTACTTCTCCTGCTGTTACCAGAGTCAAGCTTTTACGGCTGGGTGCCTCCTGGGACACCAGTGTAGCCCAGGAGCAACACCACACTTTGCCACTTAAGAGCCACTTTGTTAAGAGCCACTTTCAGGAGAGGCTGAGCTGAGAGGAAAGACATCTGGAGCTGTGAAGGAGGAAGCAAACCAGCATGAGGCAGCAGAAAAACAGAAAGGTCCAGGTGAATCCAAATCAAAAATATATAAGAAAGATAATAACACAAGAATAAATCAAAATAAACAACAACAAAAAGGGGAGTGCTGTAACAGGGCTGCCCACAGTGGTCACCCTGAGCTAGACAGGATAATTTTCACACTGTTTAATTCAGATCAGCCCCTTTTTGCCTTAAGGCCAGCTGGCAAGAGGTCAGCACCAACCTCTGCACGCTGCTTCAGGCTCTGGCAGAACCAGCAGCATGTGGGGGCCCCACTACCACCAAAGCGGGTATTATAAACCAAAAACCTTAAATAACACGCTGCTAGCGAGCTGCTGCTGGCAACCAAGTGTCGAGAGCTACAAGGAATTGCCCCAGATTAAAAAAAAAAAAAAAAAAAAAAAAGTAAACAAGCCGCCTGCAAACAAGCACACCGGAGGCAGGCACCCGCTTCCTCACCGCCAGTTTCGCTTTTCAGGCCTGGCGGCGTGGAAGCTTTCGGAGACCCCTCCACAGAGCTTTAGGGGACCCCGACCCACACCCGGGGACCCCCACACCCAGATCCACCCAGGCGGGGAAAAGGGGAACGGGACGGGGCCGCCGCGCTCTCACCCGCCTGGGAGCAGTTGCCGTGCCGGCCGCCCCCCCGCCAGACACGGAGCTGCCAGGCGCCCAGCAGGTCGGCGAAGGAGCAGTTGGCCGGGGTGTCGGCCACCAGCTCGGCGGGCAACGCCGCCAGCACCACGGCCGCTGCCCACAGCGCCCACCCTGCCATGGCGCCGCGCCCGCCGCCTCCCGCTGCAGCCGCCCTTAAAATGGACGCGGGAGCCGCGGCCTCCCCGCCCCGCCGCTTCCCCGGGCCCGCCCCGGAGCGGCCCCGGTCGTGCTACGCTGGGGGGCCGGGCTTCTGAGCCTGCCCCACCGCTCTGAGGGGCTGTCTGAGGGTGTGTGGCACCCCATGGAGGGGGTACTGCCCACAAAGAGTGACCTTGTCGCCAAAGGGTGTCCTTCTCAAAGGATGTCCTCTCACCTGCAAAGGGTGTCTCCAAGCCCTCAAAATGGCCTGTGCAAAGGGAGTCCTCCTCCCCAAAGAGTGTCCTGCCCAAAGGACAGCCTCCCCTGCAAATGACACCTTCCTCACCAAAAGGCATTGCCCACACAAATGGAATCATACAATCATTAGGTTTGGAAGAGACCTCCAAGATCATCTGGACCAAACATCCCCCTACCACCAGTATCACCCAGTAAACCATGTCCCTAAGCACCATGTTCAACCTTTCCCTAAACACCCCCAGGGATGGTGACTCCACCACTTCCCTGGGCATCCTATTCCAATGCCATTCTCTCCTAAATGGAGTCCCCCTACCCAAAGGGCATCCTCAACCCCAACATGACTCCTTCTCTCCAAAGTGCCTTGTCCTCCCCAAATCCCATTCACCTCCCCAGACAGTATCTTTCCCCTGAAGGGCATCCTCCCCTGTAAAGGGCAATGTCATCTCTGGAGCCTGTGCCCCAAAATCCAAGCCAAGACCTCCACACTCAGAGAAGTCCTAGCAGAGAGGGGCAGGCCAGTAGGCTTAGTCCCCGGTGTTATTTTAGGCAGGAGTCTTGCAGCTGTGGAGGACCAGGCCACAGATCTACCACATGTTTTAGCTGCACAAGGTGACTCAGGTTTCCGCACCAGCTGCACACTGTGGCCAGAAAACCACACAGCACCAGTCCTGCATGGGATGTGGGACCCCAGAGACCTGCAGCAGTTAACCTCAGCCCATAGCCTGCAAAAAATGTAGAAAAATCCCCCAGACTGTGTAAGACTTCGTAACATGCAAATTCTTGCAGGTTCAGTGACCAGACTGCACAGCATGGGTGTTTTCAAAGGGCAGAGATGTTTCCACAAAACTGAGCCTCTGAGTGCAGCCCAGCGTATATTTGAGTATGCACTCGAAGTGGTGCTTGTTTCACTGCCTCTCCATATTCAAAATGTACATACTTTCACATCCCCAAAGTTATACTTACAACCAAGAAAGCTAAAGGACTCTCTGAGGAGTAAATATATGCTAATTAAAAACAAAGTTATGTAAAAAATAGCCTCTCTCAGGGGAATAATAAATGCCTATAGTACTGTGTTTGCTATGAAAACAAAGCACTAGCTTAACTACAGATATATATTTAAAATAATTTTGCTAAACTGGTATAAATCTCCATGATAGGTACTCTTATTACTGATCTCAACAGTTTGGTTTTAAATCAGAATCATAGAATGGTTTGGGTTGAAAGGGACCTTAAAATCATACAGTTCCAACCCCTCTGCTATGGGCAGGGACAAAACTTACTTCTGAGCTAAACTAGATTTAAACTAGAAATGTCCTGATTTTATTTATCTATTTATTTTCATAATAGTTTAAATCAGGAGATTAGAAATAAGTCAATAAAATTTAACAGTTTCAAGCAATACGTTATTTTATGTCCATCCCTTTGCTTTTATGCCATCTTCTCAACCTTTCATGGGAGGAATCATTTAACATTTTATTGCTGACTCTTAGGACAACCAACTAATATACGTTCATACTCAGGGTGATAAAGAGACAAAAATACATGTCATTTTTGGGGGGACAGTCTTTTGAGGATCTTGAAACATTGATTTGATAGGAAAAGCAGAATTTCCTGTGTTACAGACAAGAAAACAAATGCAGTTTCACTTCATTGAGACTGCATTGGTCAATAATGTTATTATGGGTATTAAAAAGAGAGAGAGGTCTATGCTTTTTTTTTTTTTTTTTTTTTTTTTTTTTTTAAATCTATTTGTATTTTCAAAGGCAGACACATTCTGCTGGACTTACCATATCAGTGCATGTGCCTTGCCATTCCTGCATTCCTGATGAAGCCTGACTAAGGACAGGTAGCTACACAGTCTCTTTTCTTCACCAAAGAGATTTATATATATATATTAAGCTCTGTAATTTCCAAAAGAAAACCAAAACTTCCCAGTAACCTTAGGAAACATCTGTTACAGTACTTCACATTATCTATGCAGGAGCAAAAAATGATTATGGTATCTTCACATCACAATGCTGGTTGGATGATCCTGCCCCATTGCATACGTACTGTGCTTTGAACTTCAATTTTCAGTTTAATTTTGTAGCCTCTGCAGGTTGCCATTGTATAAAAACATACTGATTTCACTTTAATTGCTTTGGAGTCACGATAGATTATTGTACATAAAGCTTATTTTACATAATGTAAAATATCACTGAAACTGAGCAGAGGTGATTTAAATTCAGCCTGGCCTGTGCAGTTCAGCCTAATTCTGCTCTTCAGATGTAGTTTATTTTTGCCTTTTTGAGCAAAGTAAAGACTCCCTGTGCTTTGTCTCCAATAGTAATGCAGATTTAATTATTTCTGTGGGAAAAACCGCCAACAACAACAAACAAAAATAACAAACAGACAAAAAACCCTGTCCTTTTCACAAGCATTGATAGCCCTAGTTTTGGCAGTGAAATACAGCCTTGAATTAGTACCTCTGCATGTGTCAGACACAAAGGACTTTTTCTGTGTTTGGTCATGACACTCAGGTAAGATGTTACCTGCTCTCTTGAAAGAGAAATTATATAGAATCTGTTATAAAGCCTCTTAATTCTGTGTACTAACAGTGTTACAAAACTCCTGAGACTGAGGGCAAAATCACACAGAAGAAACCAAGTCAATGGAGTGATTTATTGCCTCCAAAGAGAGGGGCAGCTAGTAACCTGCTGACAGCTGCAGAATGCATCAATCTGTTCTGTAGGGTAACTGAAATCACTGTTGGGGGGCTCAAAAATAAATATACAATCAAAATCCTGTAGGGAAAATAAAATAAAATAAAATGGCTTTCTTCTGGTTTAGGGAGTTGAATTAGCTCCACAAAAGATCCTGTACTCACCAGAACTAGCCCAGGGGAACCCCACAGCCAGCAGCAGCAATTGCATGGAGAAAAGCAAAGAGATTTTCCTTCAGTGACAACAAATGTAAAGATTAGCTCACCAGATATTGAATGCTTATAGTCAGAATTTGGGCAACAATGCTAAATTAAGCATTTATTTCTAGTTTGTCCCAATCCTGGCTGCTTTGACCTGTCACTGACTGTACAAGTCAAAGAGTTGTGTGACCATTTGTTGAAGTGATGTGAGGAAATGATCTGGCTGAAAATAATCTTGGAAGCAAAAACCCCAGGTGTGGTTGTTATTCAGTCAGGTCAGTTCCCCAGGCTGGGAGCTAACCATGACCTGAGTGGTAATGAGCCATCCACAACTTTAAAGGAGAGAACATAAAGCTTATGTGTGTGGAGTGCTTCACAGAAAGCTAATGTTAGGGAAAACTGAAATGAAAAAGGATCCCTGTGCACAAAAGCCTATCCACTTATTTCAGCTGTATCTGTCTAATTAAAAAATGATATCTCCTTGCCAACCCTGCTGCAATTTAGTTGGTGTATCATCACCCCCACTGCTGCTGAAGCTGTTAGCACAGTATAACGGAACTAATTGTTAAAAATACAGAAGCTAAACATAACATGAGAATTCTTAATTAATTCTTTTGCCTGTTTTGGAAAGATGCAAGAATAAAAGTATTTTTATGATCCTATGCAGTCTTTGATATTAACTCCTTACTGAGACTGTTGTTGCTGTTCTGCAGATGGTTCTCGGCAAGAGCAATGTCCTAATTACACGCTGATAAAAAGTGAAAAGCTGTACTCTGAGACTTATTTTTCAGAGCATGAATTCATACATGGTCATTATCTCACTATATAAAATCTGACTTTTTTTCTCTCTCTCTTTTTTTTTTTTTTTTTCACTGCAGGGTACTTAAACCAGCTTTACAATATATTCTTTTATGCATGATTGAACTTCACAGTAAAACTAGAATCATAGAATCATTAGGGTTGGATAAGACCTCCAAGATCATCTGGTCCAACCCTCACCCTATCGGCACTGTCACCCAATAAACCACGTCCCTAAGCACCACGTCCAGCCTTTCCTTAAATATCCCCACAGTGGTGACTCCACCACCTTCCTGGGCAACTTGTTCCAATGCCTGACTACTCTTTCTGAGAAGAAATTTCTCCTAGTTTCCAACCTGAGCAACCCCTGGTACAACTTGAGGTCCTTCCCTCTCATCCTATCAATAATTATCTGCGAGAAGAGGCTGACCCCCAGATCTCCACAACTTTCTTTCAGATGCTGTTTACTTCACAGTAAAACTACACAGCCTTGCTTCTGGAGGTTTTTAGGAGGAGGTAGCTAATGCATTTATTTGTTGCACCTATAAACCTATTTTTTGATTTGCTTTGTTTTAAGTGAAGACACTCACTATGTGCAACAACTCAAACAGTTGCTAGCAATTACAGAAAATAATTTCATAAACAGAATTAGTAAGATGGGTTCTTGAGTGTGTACATAAGGAACATGGAGAGGGGAGTCACCAGGTCCCATATGCACTGACAAAGTTAGTAAACAACTGCCTTTTCCACTTTGTTATGCTAGTTCCTTAAATTATATGCATTACATTGTTACCTAAATTATACTCACCTTGAAGCTAACTCTGTCTTGATAGACAGCTGTGTGCCTAGGAGGTCTAAATTCATTACTGAAACTTTTAGCTGACAGGGAGAAAAAAAAAAAAAAACACACTATTTTTCAGAAAGTTTGCCTTTTTTATTTCATGACTTATTCTGATGCAGTGATTAATAATAATAAAACAGTGCAGAAGAACTCTTTTTAAATGTTTCTTTTTAGAAACAGCCACTATATGTTCTCAAATCTACTTTATTATTCTCTTTATTGACTCAAAAAGATGTGGTCAAAAAGATAACTTTTAAAGTACCACCACTATCCAAAGCCTAAATAATAACAACCATATAACCTCATTAAAGGAGGCTGTAGCGAGGTGTGAGTTGGTCTATTCTCCCATGTGCCTGGTGACAGGATGAGGGGGAATGGGCTAAAGTTGCACCAGGGGAGTTTTAAGTTGGATATTAGGAAGAACTTCTTTACTGAGAGGGTTGTGAGGCATTGGAATGGGCTGCCCAGGGAAGTGGTGGAGTCACCATCCCTGGAAGTCTTTGAAAGACGTTTAGATGTTGAACATAACGATATGGTTTAGTGGGGGACTTGTTAGCGTTAGGTCAGAGGTTGGACTTGATGATCTTGAGGTCTCTTCCAACCTAGACAATTCTGTGATATAAATGGTAATGCTCACAGAGGAACTTAGCAGAATCTGACTCAGTGGTTTAATGTTTATTAAATGTTCTATTGTAGAAGGATGTCACTGAAGGATGTTTTTTTTTTTTTTTTTTTTTTTTCCTGCAGCATGCTTCAAGGACAAAAATCATAGTGGAATCTGATCCCATAAGTCAAATATAAATATCACCTCTTGGTAAGTTTGTCTGGCTTTTGTCCTCTGATGACTTATTTTTTCTGCCAACTTTTTCTGAAAGATGATACACAGAATACTTGACTACACAGCTTGTGTGTGTCTGCATGCATATGCGTGTATAAATATATATCTCTTGTTCCTGGAAAAACATGTCTTGATTTAAGAGGTGTTGAATTTGCTCTACTGTTTAGAAAGTTAGGAAATTTGGGTGGAAGCTTCCCAGATACTATTGTTTTGGTTATTTTAATGACTATTAAGATAACAATGCTCATTCCACGTTGACTAAAACACTATCAAATTATCCAACTAATGTTCCAATTAGGGACGAATAACAGGAAATATTACTGTAATTACAAGCAATATAAAAACTTCATTATCTTCAAAACTGCTGCAAGCTCAGTAAATTTTAATATAGAGAACCCCGTGTTTATAGTTGTCTTTCTTTCGGGTATTTAAATCTTTAGAATATCGCAGCATATTGAAACATCAAGGAGGTGTTACCTGGAGTGAACGGGTACACTTTGGGGCAGCCAACCCCAGAAGACATGGCTGTTACTATCAGTCCAGAAACATCTCCCCAGAGCACATCAAGCAAGCACTGGAAGATGTAGGCTGGTACTGAGTGGATGGTGAACTCCTAGAAGGCCCGCCAGCCCTGCAAATCAAAGAAAAAACATGAAGAAGCTCATAAAATTACAGCAAACTTCTAAGATCTGCCTTCACTGAAGAGCAATTCCATTTTTTAGAACCATCACATCTTATATATATACAGCCTCTCTGTCTGAATGCTTGATACACCTTAAGCTTCAAAGGATTTTACAAACCTGAAATAATTAATTATCTACACATCCCTGTGGGTAAACATTTATTTTCACTATTAAGAATTGGAAAAAGAAAAGAAGTTAAATTAATCTAGAGGGTCTTACATGTCCTGCATTGTACCTGTAGAAGTTATAATGCATGAGTCAGGTGGGAAATTGGATGGCCATGGAAAGTAGAAGTCCTGATGGCAATATGGCTCTATCATCTCATGTTGAACTAAAGCAATAATAAACCTCTAAGGAGATCAACAATATTTAAGTTCTCCAGTCAGCTTTCAAATCAGTAAACAATTAAAATGATAACACATTTCATGTTCCCAGGGTTTGTTTGCAGTGTGATGTTAAGCTTTAGCTGGTGTAATTGCAGGCTGTCAAAGCAAAGAACAGCCCTGCTCTGTCTTTTGCTTCCCCTCCCTCCAGGCCCAGCTGGTACTTTTGGGACATTCCAGGCAGCAGAGCCAGAGACCGAGCAGCTGCAGGTAAGCTAGGTGATCAGGCATAAATAAATAAATAAATAAACAAACAAATAACCCATCCTCCCAGAAAGGAGTATTTTATCCATAACATCACCTCTCTGGATGAGGCACTAACCTGTGGCCAGACATCTGCTGGGTCTGGTGGAAGGCAGAAGCTGGAGGAGGGGAACAGCAGTACCTCATCTCTACAGTCACAGCAGTGGATTTGTTGCAGTGCTCAGCTGCACTCTGTTACAGCCCTAATTAATTCATGATCTAACCTGCTTCTCCCAGGCTTCTGGCAGTTTCTTATTCTGAGGCGCAAGTCAGCAATATGCTAAAAGCATTGATATGCACCAAGTTCTGCCTATTTCAGACAAAAAGATCACCTATTTGGTGTTCTCCTGAGAAGGTATATATGCTCCAACAGTGTAAGGCAAAACCTCAATTGTTTTTTGTGCCATGCAGTTGAACGCTGCCTTACTGAGTGATGCAAAGTTTGGCTGTGGCACCCAGGTCCTCTGTGCATGTGATTTCTGGGAGCTGTGGTCATCCAGGAGGATGTTACTGGTGCTTGCCCTGTCTGGCTGAGCTCCCTCAAAAATGGGTGACAAAGACATGTTCAGTATAGCTAGGGTGGCTATAGTCCTTGGAGCACATTTACTGGTCAGGTGGAAAGGTATTTCCAATGCACAGCAAGCTATCACTGCCTGGTAGGAGATGAGGGTACCCATAATTTCTCCTGTGCTTTACCAACTGCTGAACTAAAAATGAAGAAGGTAAGCTCCCACTCAAATGCCAGTACTTCTCTCTTTGTTGCTAAGAAGAGCTGCCTGCAAACCACAAAATATAAATAAATAAATAAAATCCAGTCCTATATTGGGCACACTGCTGCCTGATAAAGAATGAAGAACCAAAGGACAATCACCATGGCAAGTGCTTAGTAGATATCCTTTCTATCACTGCTACGTGCAAATCATCTGAAGTCCTGACTAGTTTTAAAGCAAGGCTGCACAGGGTGAATATGCATACAGAAGTGTGTGGTGTGGCCTCAAAGACAGACATCAGTTACACACCATGAGTACCAAACAGCCATGTACACATGCCAAATATACATTATTGCTTTTCTACCCTTCATTTTGAAAACAGACACTGTATTCTTTTTATCTTTTATTTTTCTTTTATTCCTTCCCTTGTTACTACAAGCTGCTTTGTGCATTCTACAGCTGATGCATTTTAAGTGTCAAGAGATTGTCAGTTTGTAGCACTTTTCCTGAAGTGCTGCCATCCCTAGATGTTCCATTTTTCCATCAAACCTGAAGGTTTGTAGGGGAAAAAAAAAAAAGTAATGTATTCTCCTAGAGAACTCTTTAATTGCCTTCCTGTTTATCACCAATTTCAGTCTTTAATTGGTTTTCAGTCCTTTGACATCAGAGCCATGAAGAAGTGGAATCTGTCTCAAACTCTTTCTCTTTCACCTTGTTTTAGATATGAAATGAAAAAGCTTTTTATCTGAGGCCATTTATCAGCTCATTTGAGGCATAGATGCAATCAGACTTCAATCCAAATTGCTGTTTTTGCAAATGCACATTGGTTGCCTAAGTTTGAAGGAGATAAAGATATTTTTTTTTATCAGCTCTGCCAATCACTCCTAGCATCTAAGCACTTGTGAAATACAGGACATGCTGCTACTGATATTAATGCACTGGGAGAGAGGACACCAGAGATGAAGATGTGGGTGATCATAAGCCAAATGGTTCCTGGCAGAGCAGATGGGCACATACTGGCCAGGTCAAAAGTCACTTAGGACATTCGTAGAAGGTTCCTAACCTGGAAGCAGCTGGGTTATTGCAGTGAAGGTGGGGAAATGGAGTGACTCTAAGGTGGAGCACAGTAAAGGATTATAAGATGCTGTGATTGCCGTGGCCCAGACTGAGCTGTGTGGCCATGGGTGTATCTTTAGTCCTTTAAGAATAAGTAGGCATGTATATGAAACATATTAAGAGTACTTTAAGGAGCCTAATTTATGCTCGTGTTTTGAATTGCCTTTTGAAAGATCCTCTTTCTTTCTGTTGCCACTGTTTAGATCCTCTTTCTTTCTGTTGCCACTGTTTCCAACAGTGGGAACCTAAGGAAAGTAACATACTCCAGCATTTTTAAAATTACCTGGTTTCTCAGTGATGCTAAACTAAAGAAATAACAGCACTGAGCTGTTCATTTCTTTTATGCAGTACTCTGATCTTTCTTTAAAGAGACCAAAGTTTCTCTTCAGAGGAAATCTTAACTGAGTTAGTGTTGGCTTTAATAGAATGAATTGAGTGTCAGAAACTGTTGTTCCTGTTTTTAAATCTATAAAGCCACGGAGTTAGCTGTCTTGAGTCTATCTCATCTTTAAACATGAGGCTTTTAGCTATGAATAAATTTGAGGAACTTGCAGTAAGCCATTCAGTGCATATTCATTCATTAAAAAAAAAAAAAAAAAAAAAAAAAGGAAAATTTTCCATCATTTACAAATATAATTTTCTAAAATACAACTAACAAAACCATTGTATTCAAGATGTGTAAAGAAATCTGCAACTAATTTGGGATGCCTTAAACCATGCTGTTTCTCTGTGATTGCATCACAACCATCTTTTAAACATCAGCACCCAAATTGTGTCCACAATTATAGGGATGCTTTTATGTCTTTAAATGAATAATTACAAGAATGAGTTGTCTTGTGATACTATGAATTGGAACAACCTCATTGTGTAGAGTGAGATAACGAATGGGAGATAAGCATGTTCCGCTCTGACTGAAGTTAAATACAAAATGCAGCAGAAAAGCACAAGAAGACTGTCTTTAAAAAAAACAATATTTTTAATTGAGAGAAAGGGAGGAGTTGGGGGGAGACACAGTGATGGCGGCTCAGGGGCTCCAAATTTGAGCTTCTTTTCCAACTCATGTAAGATGTGTGACTCTCATGGAGATGAACATTTGTGTTGTGTTGAAAGGAGATAGGTGAGATCTGCCCTCACATATCTGCACTGCAGCTTAATCTTAATCACTACAAAACAGATGCACTGCCCACACTGAACTAGACCTTTTCTCCCTTTTGTTTTGCATTTGCTTTTTTAGAAACAGAGGCAGTTGTTTTTTTTTTTTTAAAGTAATTTTCTGCCAGTAGTTGGAGTCACATGTCAAAGCAACATCTGGGCCTTAAACATTATAAACTTCTGTCTCCATCTATCTCCACTTTTTCTTCCTCCTCTGTCTAAGTTATTTTGTTTTCTGTGTTATTTTTTTTCCTCTTTCTTTTCTTCTTCCTTTTTTTTTTTTTTTTTTAACTTGCTATTCTCAGTTTTTCCCTTCTCATTTCCGCTTTGATGCTCCTCTGCTTGTTCCCACTTGCAAGCAATTTTTACTTTATTGAAAACAATACCAAACCTATTACATAGCTGCAGGGCTTGCTTGCATTAACCTTAAGATTGCCTCACACCTCTCTGCCTAAGAAGCTGGGAGCTGGTTCCTCACTATGTCTTTGTTTGCCCTCTCCATCTATTGTCTCTAGTTATTGTCTCGTCTGGCGCCTGGATAATAACAGGGGGACACAGCACAAGGGAGTTGGGTCTGATTCTTTATTTACTTTTTGTACAGCAGCTACCTCAGTGAGGTCCTACAGCTTCTAGGTAGTGTTGCAATATAAACAATGTAATATTTTAAATCCGAGAGATCTGGAAGTTGTAAATACAATTTATGTGGTTATCTTCATGCAAATCTGCAGGAAAAAGAGGCTTCCATAATACTGAAAATCCTAATTTTCTCCAGCTTTTAGCCAGCAGGCCTAATTATTTTCATAGTGGTTGTGTTCCTGTGTTGATCCACTTTCAATGCAGAAAGACTCGCATGGCATCACATAGTGGAAACCCAGCAGTGTCCTGTGGAGACATGCAGCGATGTTACTTTCACCTGCATTGGACAGCTTCTAAGACAGCAGTGCTGAGATAGGAGGAGAGGAGCAAGGCCTGAAGCACTGAACAACACCCCAGCACATTTTCTTTGTGTCTAACCTCCATTTTATATCAGCGTAAAATGACGCACAAAGCTACAACCAGGAGCAGTGTCCAGCCCATCTGTTTCAGAGACAGTACAGATCCATCTTCTCTCGCTGCCTCACAGCGATCACTTTGGATGAGAAGTTAAAAAATGCAGAATGCATTCATGCAATCCTGAAGTAATTACCTTCCCAGAAACCTGGGGAAGATGCTGGAGAAAACATCTTCCAGGCTTAGATTAACTATTGCTTGATTAATAGACAACCAAGATGATGATGACTTAAGAAAGGTAATTCCAAGAGCAAAACAGATATTGTTACACACGAAAGCAGCGGTGAAAAATGACCTTTTCTGAACACTGACACTATTTTACAAAGGATGGGGATTTTTGCTGTATGTATGAAACCAAGCCTTTCTTAAATTCTGTGGACATAATTTCTGTTTCTGCACCAGGCCTGTCCTGTACATCAGGATCCCCACCCGTTTTCCTAGTCATTGAAGTAGTAAGGCATGACTATCATTCTCGTCTGACAGTCCACGGTATTGCTGGCAAAAAATGCTCAATGGCTATTGAAAGGTAACTTACAGATTTTGATATTATTTGGAATACTTTGGAATAGAATTCCTTGGATTGGGAGAGAAAATCCTTTTTCTCCTCCAACCTGTTAAACACTCCTTAGCACCTATTCGAGGCAGTATCAACACTTACTCAAGGAGACACCAGCCAGACAGTGCCTCACCCACAAAGGTACTCAGTGTGCCAGAGCTCTCGGGACATGCACAGGATACAAGGACTTGCCTAAGCACAGAGCTGGCATTGCACTACTCCTCTCTGCATTTCATATCAGCCACTGTTACAAAAATTAACTCTATCCCAGATGAAACCAGAACAATATCCAGACTGAATGTCTTCTGTTTTCTCTCACCATTGCACCACTGTGAAGAGCTTGACTGTGTTTTTGTGATGACACAAAAGGGAAAGACCTTCAGTGCTGTAAGGAAGCAATGAAAATATAAGATGTAGCTGCAAGCAAATACATGGGACATATGATATTTGCTTGATATAGAATTGCAGTAACCTCTTTACCCTATGGGCTGGGGCAGGTTGGATGCAAAAAGAGACTGTGAGAGGTCATAGAATCATTCAGGTTGGAAAAGACCAATAAGATCATCTAGTTCAACCTTTAAGCTAGTTCTAAAGTCCACCACTAAACCATGCTACTAAGTTCTACATCTACATGTTTCTTGAAGACTTC